TGTGGGGGGGGGTATCATCTGGAATGTGTTGCTGCAGTCTTCGAGGACGAAACCTAATTTAAGTGGGGGAGAATTGTAACACCCCGAGTTCAGAAGTGCGAGTTCAGGGTTCTTAGTGTAAATCAGGAAGGTCGACTCGGCGAGTCGATGGATGAACTCGGCGAGTCGAGTCGCGGTTCTGGTCACGTGTTAAGTGACCAACTCGGCGAGTTGGCAGTTGGACTCGACGAGTTGGTGCTGAAGGGAGAAAACCCTAATTCCGGGAGTTGTGCCCTATATAAAGCACATTATAGCCACCCTCAGCCTCTTTACTTCCCATTTGAGTTCCAGAAACCCTAATTAGTGTGTGTGAGCCTCCATTGTTAAAGTTTGAGCTTGGAAGAAGAAATTGGTAAAGAGAAGTTTGAGGACTTTGAGGATAGCATCAATAGAGCTTGTGGATCTGAAGTCTACATCAGTTTAGACTCATCTTTGGGGTAAGAAGTCACCTCCTTCAGCCTATTTCCTTGTTGTTCATCCATGGTGGTTGTTTTGGGATTCTTTAGCATGATTGAGATCTATTTTGGGTATAGAGTCTAGATCTGAGGTTGCAACTTTAGATCTAGGTTGTATTGGAGCCATGAGGGCAGAAAGCATCATCCATGGGGCTTGATTGAGAGTGCCTTTGTCCCAAAACCTTCTTGTAGCTTGGTTGGAGCTTGTTGAGCCTTGCATGCACGTAAAGTTGGAAACTTTACGTGTGAATCTGGCCCTAGGAGTCCAGATCTATGTATTGGAAGCAATGAAATGGCCTGAAATCGTCTGTTGAAGATTGCCTTGGACTCGGCGAGTCTGGTCGTGGAACCCTAACCTTTTCTGGTTAAGCCTCGAATGGGTGAGTCGAGGGACGACTCGGTGAGTTAAGCAGGATGTGACTATGAGATTGTCGGACTCGACGAGTCTTGGGGCGACTCGGCGAATCGAGTCGTATTATGGGAGTTTCTGAGTAAAGGAACTCGACGAGTCGACGGGTTGACTCGGCGAGTAGGGTCAACCAGGAAGGTTGACTTTGACTGAGGACTTTGACTTTGACCAAGGGTTGACCAGTTGACTTCCAAGGGTATTTTGGTAATTATTGGTATTTATTGGATTTGGTTATTCGGTAATGTTCAGTGGTGGAGTTCGTGTCGGTGGTCGGAGCAGCGTGATCTTATTCCTCAGTCGGCAGTTGCAGGTGAGTTATCCTCACTATACTGACAGGGTCTACGGCACCAAGGCCGACCCTTTATCGGATGGAAATCCGGGTATTGTTGTTATGTTATTGCTTTGCTATGTTTGCATCCTGGTAGTTAGGATGGTATACGTTAGAGACCTGGTTAAGGTCGGTATCCTGGTATATAGGATGATGCTATGCTAGTGACCGGTTAGGTCGGTATCCTGGTTAGGATGTTGCTATGTTATGTGATATGCTGGATCGGTTTGATTAGTTGTGAGATGTTATATGATTATATGTTTATGTGCACATGGTTGTTGGACTGGGGTTGGGTTGAGGCGGGTCCTGCTTTGTGCTGTAGGCCAACATACCCAGGGCGGACCGGTTAGACTGAAGGCCCGGCGAGCGGTCCGGATAGGCTGAAGGCCCCAAGAGGGCGGACCAGACGTGCCGAGGCTCGGGGAGTGGACCAGACTGACTGAAGGCCCGGTGCGGGCGGACCAGTCATACTGTAGACTCAGAGAGTGGACCAGGTGGACTGAAGGCCCGATGCGGGCGGACCAGTCATATTGTAGACTCGGAGAGAGAGTGGACCGGGTGGACTGAAGGCCTGGTGCAGCGGACCAGTCACACTGTAGACTCGATATGCATGGCTGTTCTGTTTTATGATATGATATGATATGTGTATGGTATTGTGGTTGGTATTTTGGGGGTAACTCACTAAGCTTTCGGGCTTACAGTTTCAGTGTATTGTTTCAGGTACTTGAGGAGATCGTGTCAAGGCGAAGGCGTGATCGTACCGCTCCTCAGTTTTATGTTGATGTTCTGGGATACTCTGATAATAAATGAATTGAAAACCTTTTTGTAATAACTTAATGAATATGGGTTGTTTTTGAAAAGTTTAAAATGGTTATAAATTGCTGGATGTTACATGGAATCACTGATAAATTTTGTTTATTGGTTCATAATAACGATAATAAACTTAAACATAAGTTATACTTAAAGTACGGTAAGCATAACTTAACTTACAGGTGGTTTAGCGAGAAACCGGGTTCTGCGCGGGCAGAACTTCTGAGCCGAAAGTTCTTCTTCTCGGGGCTTTCCGGCACTCCCGAGGCTCGCTACTAAATCCTAGGAAGGGCTAGAGATAAGATCTTAGGACCTTCGGAGGTTTGGGAGAGAATTGGTTGAAGAGGTGTGAAGAAAAGAGTGAGAAATGAGCTCTATATATAGCTGCCAACGCCCAAGTACGTTGGGCGTACTCAAGAATTACGTTGGAAGTAATGGATTTTTAAGGGTTACACTGGGCGTACTCAAAAATTACGCTGGGCGTAATGTTCCACGTGTTGAAATCTGGTGGCAAGCCGTGGGGAAGAAGGTGTGGCCTAGATCTTGCCATGTGTCACTCGCTGGTTAATCCAAAATTAATTATCTTCTAAAATCCGCAACTTTCGCATATGAGCTCCGTTTTTTTGACGTTTTTTATATCCACACGTAGGTAGCGACGTGATCTACAACTTTTGTTTAGACTTCATTGGCTAATTTTGACTTTATTTTTAAAGTTATATTTTAACAGACTTAGACAGTTAAAGTCCGTTAAAAATTCATATATTTGTCATCCGACGTCCGTTTTCGACTGTCTTTACATCGTTGAGCTCCTATTAACGAGATCTTCAATTCTCTTTTAGGTTGTGTCGGCTAATGTTCGATCGATCTAAAATTCGATTTGCGGGTTGTAGACTGTTACGCTGAATCTTAGAAAAATCATAATTTCCTCTAACGAAGTTAGATTTTGACGTTCTCTATATGCGTGCTCTCGGTTTAATGTCTACTACGATCTTCGTTTAGGTCGCTAAGGCTAAAAAATATTTTATCAAAAATTTACTTTTTACGATATGCGGAGCCATGTCGGTTTAATCGCGAAACTTCGACGGGTCATAACTTCTTCGTTATAAGTCGGATTTCAGCGTTCTTTATATGTACGAAATCCTTGTGACATATACTATAATTTGGTTAAGATTATTTATTCTAAATAATCTTATAGAAAAAAGTCATTTTTAACGTTTATTATCTCTAAATTGACTAGCCTGAATCTGCGGGCGTTACATCAGACGCGGTGTCACCACCACCACCACCATCTGAAAATCAAAACAAACAGCATGGGCGATGGCGACTAGGGTTCACGGTAATAACTAAAGGTGGAATTGGTTTGCTTCTGGTAGTGGTAAGGGTTGCGGTGAAATCGAAGGGGAGAGATAAAGGGTTTTTTGGTTTTCCGACGGAGGGAGTAGGGTGGCATAGATAGTCGCGGTGGTCGGAAGGCAATGGTAGTTGGTGGGGTTTGATGATGGAGGGAAGACAAATCTATAGATGTGTGTAGATCCGAAAATTGTTGGGATTTTTGGTTTTTCCGAAGGAGGGAGGATGGTGGCGTAGGTATCTCCGATGGTCGGAAGATAGCGGTGGTTAGTGGGGTTTGATAATGGAGGGAAGGCGGTTCCAACATTGTGTGCAGATCTGAAAATGGTGTCAGTTTGTTGAGGTATGACGACGAAGGACGGTGGTAGTAGCTGTTTCTTGATAGAGAGAATGGAGACATCGTAGGGAGGTAGAAGCGACCAAGGGGTGGTAGTTGCTTCTTATAATGGTGGTGAGATAAAAAAAAATGGTTGAAGGGAAAATTTGAACAAATCTTCTCAAATATTAGGCATTAACACACAAAAATTATTACAGGGACAAAAAGCCTAAAAGTTAAATAAAACAAAAATGCTATAGATTTTTTAAAGTAAGTTACAAACCAATATAACTCTTTCAAGTTACTACAATTAATATCCCAAATGACATTGTAAATTTCTAAGCCTTTAGGGTTTTGTTTGTATAACTTTCATTATATAAGATTATGTAGAATACAAAATAAAAAAATATATATATTTACTTAAATGAAATGGGTGGTTCACGTTACAAATTTCAACCATAATTCAACATATTTAATTAATCTAGTTGATCCGGCTGACTCATGGAATCAAACGGTTTTAAAATCTAAATCTAATTAAACTGCTAATTTTGGGTTGGGTTCATATTAGGATCTAATGAATGCTCATCCATTGATGGACTTATTTTTTTTTATAAATTATTAGATTCATCTGTTGCTTACGGGCATTGAGCGAGAGCAAATGTGCAAAATAATGAATGCTCAGAAGTTACCATTGAACAGTTACAACTCAAAACATCGATTATATGATGGTTTTACGTGTTTCAAATCTTAAATACACGTGAGATTTTGGGTGGTGAAGAAACGATGACGACGAAGTGCTTCAAAATAGAGTGAAACCATGAAGTATGAAATTCGTAAAATGGTGAAAACGAAAAGAATTTGGAATTAATTTTTAAGCGAAAAAAGTAATAAAATTTGATTATTTTTTGTTCCTCTATCACTATTTTGTAATTGTTATAATGATTTAATCTAGTTTGGATTCAATTGTATGTGACGATAGACCAAGAACTGCAAACATAAGTCAAAAGAAAATCAAGAAAGTGTGATAGACCCTTTTGGTCAAATCAATGGTTGTCTACCGCTCAAACCATACAAAAACTTTTATCATATGGTTTTGTTCAAACATGTCTCCAACATATCTCAACATATCGACCCCTTTTTTCAATCTTACATGTGATCACAAATCATGGGTTCCCATCAAAATCATCACAGTACATGTCATAAATGCATACAAAAAGTAAACAATGAAATTTTTTCACTTAACCATAACAAATTAACAACATTTAAAAATTAAAATCATTGCAAAATACTAAAGAGGAGATAGTAATATGCATATATATGGTAATCTTTACAACCTGTGAAATAAACCAGAGTTGCAAGTGAAGGGGGGTTACAAAATGAGAGATTTCCCACATGTTTTCTTGGAAGTCATTTCCATCATTAATAATTTACAAAATCAAAAAAGATTACTACCCTTCACATCAAAAATCTAATTAGAACAAAAGCCCTTTCAAAGTTAGCTCCTTTTTTTTTTCTTCCAAAAGTCTTCAATCTTTTTCTTCTTTGATCATCTAGAGATATCATAGTCAGTGAATTCAAGTTGTTGCTCAATTTCCCAGTTCAACTTTGAAGCAACACCTTCATGGCTTGGAACATACTCCTGTTTTTTCATTCCAAGAAAATAAAAGTCAAACCAACTAAATTCCAACATTATAATCACATGAAATAACTTCTTTCAAAAATTTAACGTAACATTTAACTTTATCACATGTACTATATGTCGAAGGAGTTTCATGTTCAATTTCTAAGATATGGATAACAATTTTAAGTTTGAAAATGTCATGCGCTTGACCTAAAAAGTCAACAACAATTTGGGGATTTTACCTCCAATTTGCGAACCAAAACTTTAGCAGTAGGAGCCGAAACGATGATGTGGCGAGCACTTGGGCTAATGAAGCCTTCTTCAACTGCTTTGTCAATGAACGAGAGTAACGAATTGTAGTAACCATCAACATTCAGCAATCCGACCTACAATATTTTCGAAATTTAAATTATTTTCTCGTCAAATGTGTAAATTTTTAAATACTTTTCAAAATTCAGAAAAGGGTATTTTGGAGAACTTACAGGCTTATCATGAATTCCAAGTTGAGCCCATGTTATCACTTCAAGAAGCTCTTCAAGAGTGCCATACCCACCTACACTCATATTAACAAATTGCAAATTTAAAATAACGAATTATAACATATGTTTATCCTAGACCTAAACAACACCCAAATATCATATTTTGAGTTAAAAGATGTCGATGGATTGGTCAAGATTCTAGGGTTTCCAAAAGCCTGATCTTTTAATCATGAATCTTGGGATATGGGTTGTTAAAAAGTACAGAGCTTTATTTGACCATAAAGCTTCTGTTACAAGTTGCTTTCACAGCACTACAAAGAACAAAATCTGGTCATTACTTAATACCACAACTTGAAATGTAGCTTCTAGGTTTGTGATTTACGCATGAACAGTTGTACCTTTTGTTAGGGAAAAAGACCAAAAAGTGTCCTTTATTATCATTGTGAGCTAAGCATCCTCTAAATTACCCCTAATTGCTTTTTTCTTCATAATCAACTCTAGTAAGTGCACTTTGCATCATAAAGAAACCAACTTTTTCATATATTTTGAGAGAAAATTGGAAGGTCAAAGCCAAATAATTATAACTAACCTCTTTAACTTTTAAAGTGCTTAAACTTTATTACTTACATATATATAAAAAAAACATTACTTTTATTTTTTTTGATAAATTATAATTAGAAAACTAACCTGGTAAAGCAATAAAAGCATCAGAATGCTTAGCCATCTCAGCTTTCCTTTGGTGCATATCTGCCACTGCTTTAACTTCTCCTACTGTTTCACCAGTCAACTGTATAGACCAAAAACAGTAACCAAATTAATACAAAAACAATCAAAAATACTAATTTTAGAGAAAGAAGTGCACAGTGAAAGTGAAACAGTGATAAGAATCACTTGTACAACATGCATTAAAACTTGTCCTACTGACCCAATTTGGCATGTTATAAATCAGAAATGGAAAAATATCAGAACTACTATTTTGAACCCAAAAAACATATAACAGACAAACTACCCAACATGTTATGTTATCTGGATAAGGCTACAAATTACAAGGACCAAACAAAGAAACAAAGTTCAATAACAATTCTTTTCTCACCAACATTGGGATAGAGGAACATTAAAGCCAATAAACTTTTACAATACATACATTATATATATATATATATATATATAATCGTATTTCACATATTTATTTATTTATTTATGTAAAGAGACTTTTTTTTTCTTTTCTGTAGCTATGGCAGACATTAGACATACCTCTCGAGGCATGAGTGTCTTCGGAATGACCCTGTAAACAGACAATAACATGGCAAAACATTAATTTTTTAATCATCTTGTTTTTAAGTTTAATTGATATTTTTGTTTGTGTGTGTGTTTTTTGAGGTTTTCTAGGTTATGAATCCATGATTAGACACACTTTTTGTATTATCTTACCCAATGACATGGCGACCACCATCATGAACAGCTTGCGAAACCAATCCCATTAACCCAATGCTACCTCCGCCATACACCAAATCGATGTTTCTTGAAACCTGCAAATGAACACGAGTGTACTGAGTCAACTCGGTTATGAAAGACGCTTTGATCCCGTCTTAGCGGCGATGTTTTTGGAAAGATTGAAATGGGTTTTCATTTTTTTTGTATACATGCAAAAGTTAAAACATAAAAAGAAGAAACAAAACTAAGAACTCATCATATATGAATGTTTGTCAAGAATCTTGAAGAACAACAAAAACAAAAGGTTTCTTGATGTTGACTGAATCAAATAGTTAAGACATTTGAAAAGAAAACCCATTTGAACATTGCATATACACTTGATTTCAAGAAAGCCCAGTTTCAAAAATCTTGAAAAAAGTAAGAGATGGAATGTAAAAAATACCAATTCTTTTCCAAGCTCAATTGCAGCATCTTGATAGCTGCTTTTCTTGCCCTGACTACTCCCACAGAAGACACAAATCCTCTTGAACTTTGACACCTTCATTTCACCATTTAGCTCCATTTCTTGCTCTAAGAGTAAGTTTAAATCCACTTTGATAACAAATTTGGGCAAGAATTTGCTCTGGTGATGAAAATTGAAAACACACAGTCACACACTACGCACTACAAACACAGAGCCAAAAGGAATATGGGTTTTGATGTAGTAATAGGTGCGGCTAGTACAATTCGAATGGATTTGTGTCGAATCAGAGAGAGAAAGAGAAAGAGAGAGGTGAAAAGATTTGTTTGTGCGTATATTTAGTACTTTTAATGGCTTGACCACTCCTTTGCTTTTGGTGCAACCTCTTGTCTCACCATGCTTGTATTTATAAGGATCATGGCACGTGATTAACCCCACCCCCATTCCCTACTCAAGCTATCCCACCATATTTTTTACAAATATGGACTTAATCTCCTTTAAATTTTATAATTCTCTCCTACCTAAAACAATTCCAACAAATTTCACTTGAATTGTACCAACAACAATTCAATGTTTCTATATGAAAAGCATTTTATATGTTTATTAATTACTGTCGTCAATTATTATCTACAAGTTTATCTTGAATTTATAATGAATTTATATAAAAATAAATATCTGTAAAGGTAATTAAATTTTAGAATTGTATATATATTTATTCATTAATCTTTTTTTATGTGTAATTTACCATTAAACTTGTTCAAATTGTTTAAAAATACCAATAAAACCGGGTATAGTGGATTTCTTTGGTCATATTGGAATTTTTAAGCAATTTTACAAGTTAAATGATAGATCCCATACAATAAGTTTAGTAATTAAATATATACAATTATAAAAGGGATAATGACTTAAAAGGGTAACATATTTTTTAATTGTACATATTTGATCACTGATTTTTTTCGTCCATATTTACCCTCTTCAACTTGTTAAACCGTACATATTCAGTCCTTAGGACCAGCTACTCCAGGTTAGCTGATAAAAATGACTTAATATAGTAATATATTTCTCATTTTGTACACATTTAGTTCTTAATATTTTTATACATATTTAGTCCTTAAGATATATATTTTTTTTGCAAAATAAGACATTTTTGTTTTTGTACTCATTAAGTACTTATGAATGATTTCTTAAGGTTTTTCTCACGATATTTTACGTGTGACAATCATTAATGAGGTGTTTGGGGCTTTTGATGCTTATGTCCATCGTGATCTCGTCTACTTGGTTGCTTAGGTCATGTGTTATGAACGTCATAACTTCTTCATACGATCTCGAATTTTAAGATCTTTATATCCATGCGTTCATATTTTAGTCTACAACAACTTCGTTTAGATTACTCCCGTTAAAAAATAATTTATTTTTACTAACGATCTTTATATCCATGTGGATGTTTTTTTATAAAATCGTAAGTAAAAATATATTACATTTTAACGGGAGTAATCTTCACGAAAGTTGTAGTAGACTCAAAAAACGAACACGTGGATATAAAGATCGTTAAAATCTGATATCGTATGAAGAAGTTACGACATTCATAACACAAGACCTAAGCTAAACCACAAGACCTACGCAACCAAGCAGTCGAGATCGCGATGAACATAAGCATCAACAGCCCCAAACAGCTCATCAATGATTGTTCTACGTAAGATGTCGTGAGAAAACTCTAAAGAAATCATTCATAAGTATTGAATGAATACAAAAACAAAAAAGACTTATTTTCAAACAAAAAAAATATTAAGGACTAAATGTGTACAAAAATAATAATGACAAAATGTGTACAAAATGAGAAATATATTACTCTATTAAGTCATTTTTCCCGACTAACCTGGAGTAACCAGTCATACGGACTGAATATGTACATGTTTAACAAGTTGAAGGGGTACATGTGGACGAAAAAAACTCAGTGACCAAATATGTACAAATCAAAAAATATATTACCCTTTTAAAAATCATTATCCCATTATAAAACTTGCTTACTAATGGTGTATAGGGTTAGCCCATACACAACATCAATCCACACAAGACAATTACTTACTAGGCCTGCCAAAACCTTACCAAAAGGAAGTATAGACATGGAAAGACAGAAGGACAACCGGATAGAAAAGTAGAACAATTCTCTAGATTCCTACACAGTAAAACATGATCTAGCATGAACACAAAATATTCAATATTATATTAGTAAAACGATACACTATCTAATATAATATTGTCATGGTCTTCCTTTCCTTTCATATAAATAGCAGCTCCTCTCAACACTACATATAAGTGTTCCAGACTCACTTCAATTTCTCATTCTCTCTCATAAGACATCTCTATCTCCATCTACTCAGCTCTTTCCCGCTAGGAAGAGTTGTCTCTCTTTTTACATAACAATTTAACTTGATCATTGAAGCTTGCTCCCGGACACAGACCCTGGGGCAAGTTTAACGATCCATTTCATTTTGCACATGTTTTATAGTCGGATTCCAACTACGACGCACAATTGACGGACATACGAGCTAGACGTAACAACCAGATAACCTATTACAGAACCCGACGTAACAACAGTTACCCTTACAAGTAATTAACCATTCTTTATTATCGGGTCAAACACAAAACACTTTAGCAAGGGTTGAAGGTGTACTACCACCAAGGGGTCATGGGGGTGTGACGTGACATCGATGTTGTCTCGGTAATATCATGCCCCTTAAAGTACATTTTAATGTATAATACATATTTTAAATAAATAATATGTATTTATATTTTAAATAAAGAATGAATATATAATAATCCGGAAATTTCCATTTCGGAATATCAAATATCAACTATTTTCAATCATATCTCACTATTTAAGCCATTATATCGTAATAATGTCATAAGAATTTATGTTCTCTCTCTCTCTCTCTATATATATATATATATATATATATATATATATATATATATATATAGTGTTAGGATCTTTTATGAATTCATATTGTCTTGCGAACCACTCTTAAAATGCGATTTTTTTGTGTAATATTTTTTATTTAAAAAATGACATAAAACACCAAATCGGTCCTATAGAAAAATATTTGCAAAAAAGATCTCAACAAAAAATGTACATATACAACAGGTGCATATGTGCACAAACGTTAGAAATTCACAAAGTTCGTAAAAAAATGCACATATACACCTGTCGTATATGCATATTTTTTTGAGATTTTTTCGCGAATATACTTCTATAAGACCAATTTGGTGCTTTATGTCACTTTTTTTGAAAAAAAAATATCACACGGAAAAAGTTCGCATTTTAAGAGTGGTTTGAGGAAAAATATGGGTTCGCAAAATCCTGACTATATATATATATATATATATACATGATTTAAATAAATAATATGTCTTTATACCTAAAAATACGGTTTTAAAATATAAAAGTATGTATTATATATTTTATTTATATGTAAAAGACACATATTTGTTTTTAAAATTACTTTATTTATATGTAATTTATTTATATGTAAATATATGTTTATTATTTGAACAAATGATGTAAATATATGTATTTTGGAATGATATTCTATGTAAAATTAATGTTAACATATTTTTGAAAAAAAATCAAGAATAATAACTAAATATGTACAAAACAAAATTTAATGATTAAATACCTATAAAACCTAAAGTTAGTTACTCTTATAGGTTGTTATCATTTTATATAAAAACGAAGGTTCTAAAATGTTCGCCATCTTCATTGTTTCAAGGCTTGTACTTGCCGCAAAATTTTAACAAATTCCCGACTTAAGTTATATATGTATATAAAAAGGAATAATATAAGAAAATACATATAAAATTATTAATTATATACAAAATTATCGTCTTAAGTCACGCTTTACAAACGACTTGGTTCGCCAAGACTCGTAAAAACTTTAGGCTACGCCTTAAATTATTTAGGACCTTGATAAAAAGGAGGTTTAGTAAATAATTATTAATAAATAAAGTTAAATAATTAATTTGTCAAAACAAATTTATATTTTTTAACTGAAGAGGAACAAACAATTTTTCAAATATGAATTTTAGCGTAAGTTTATTTTTTATGGTTAATGATAGAGGTGTGGTAGCTTAAAGTTTATAGATAAATAAGTCTAGATTTTTTTAGTTTTAGTCCCTAACGAGTAAATGTTGAGTGTAAGCGAAATTATTGATATTTGTGTATGTATATGGCCTGGAGGTTGTTCATAAAAAGGTAAGTGTCATCTTGAATGGCCTGACCTGATCAATGCTAATTATGTGGGGATAAATCGTAGTGCATTAGCGATTAATGTATGCTCATTCTCCCCTCTTTAAATCCCTATAAACAATATCATTTGTTCAATTTGATTAATCTAATAATTAATTAATTCTTTGAATAGTGATACCAATTATGGTTGTGTAAGTTTTGAACCTTGAACCTTCTTTATAGGATTATGTACTTCAACCGCTAGGATCCCATTTTAAAGACGAGGTTGTTTCATATATATACCTTCTCGATTAGATCATCATTAAAAAACTATTTTTAATAACAAGTTGATGTATTGACAAATCTTGCAAGAGACAATAATGCTAAGAATGATACGAATGGTGGTAGACTTCATAACTAGACTAAAAGTCTAATGGAATTCTACATCAAACTATTATAAAGGCCTTGAGCCACGAAATGAATTCTGAAACGGTCTAGCTTGTCATCAATGTCGATTTTATGCAATAGAGCTAATGACAACCAATAATGTTGACACTACAAAGTCTAAGAACAAATCCAGGTGCTATTCTAATCACCTCGTAAATCCTTGCAGCTTAAAGTGTTTGCTGATTTAAACATGAAGCTAGATGCTTTTGGTACTTGAAGATAAAGGTATTATGATTGGGCTTGTTTTCTATACACATAAAAGTCAATCACTGACTTTTGCATTTTTCTTCGGGATACATTAATTTCTTAAAAGTCTAAAAAACAAACCATGACGTCCGCTTATATATAAAGGTAGTGTATCGTGCCATTGCGGTCACCGCTTGTGAGGTTATTTGGTTGCAACATCTTCCACATGTTTTTTTGGTGTGATAATGCCTCTTCTCTTTAGTTAGTTTTCGATCAAACCTTTTACAAACAAACTAAAGACATTGAAATTAAATGTAATCGTGTACATGGCATGGTTACAAATTAGGCAATCAAGTTGTTGATCATATACACTTAATTTGGTTTGGTTGTAATTTTAACTAAGTTTTTACCATGATGGAAAATATTACTTATCATGTTTAATATGGCTATCCAAGACATCTTCTCATGACCATATTGATGGAGAGTGTACGATTTGTGTATTTATACATAGATAGTTAGCTTG